GAGGGTCCGTCCAACATACCTTGGACATGTTGTAAGGAGGGAACGGTCCTTGGAGAGGGACATCATGCTTGGTAGGGTGGAGGGACAATGCAGGAGGGTAAGGCTTTGTGAGGTGGATTGATTCAGTGACTGGGTTAATCGGGATGGGAATGTCAGAGGCAGTGCAATTGGTACAGGACAGAGCAGAGTTTAGGACTGTTGTACATAGGGTTGCTATGAGTTGCAAGCGACTTGACAGCACATAACAACAACAACATAAATGGTCACCATTTTTAATGCTTTTGACCTGTTTTAAGTAATTCTGTAAACATTTCCTTAACATAAAATAAATGTTTCCATTAACTCCCTCTACCCCAGTAAGAGTTTTCTGGTGGCCTAGCACAAAAAGCTGTGCTGCAATCCCAAAAGCACGCGGTTTGAGGCCACCAGCTGCTCCATGGAAGAAGCATGGGCCATCTCTTTCTGTGTCATTAACTGTCTCTGAAAACCCACCAAAGGGTCAGGTATGGGTAGGTTCTGACTCTACAGTACACAGCAACAACAACAACAACCCTCATAAGAGAATTCTTATTTCTATATGGAAATCTCATGAGGTGATACATTTAAATTTTTTTATCCCTGTCTGTCAGCCACATTTTTTATTGTCTGTACGTTCACAAACTGAGATTATAGATCTAATTCATTCTCTATACTACATACATTGCTTCTTTTGGCGGGGGGGACTTGACTTTCCATTAACTAGTAATTGTTTAAATAAATGTTTTTATGTCATCTTTGCACCTGTTAAAATACCTGAAAAGATATAAAAGGAGATGTAAAGTGCAGCACATTTTAAAAGCAAAAGTTAAAATACTTTGAATACTGTGGTCCCCAGTTGTGTAAAAATTGTGTGTGTGTGTGTGTGTGTGTGTGTGTGTGCACTTGTATATACAAAGAAAAATAATTTGGGTAAAAATAAACTATTCATTGTAGTTATCTGGACAGCGTAGGTCTGGGTACGTCTTGTAAAAGATGCAGAAAGAGTGCTCCTTATAGGCAAGAATGGTGAAGCTCTAGCTCTCATAGTTTGGACATACTGCTGTTTCTTGGAAAGGGATATCATTCTTGGAAAAGAGGAGGGTTGATAGAAGAAAGGAAGACTCCCAATGGTGAATTGACGTGGTGACTGTGGCAGTGGGGTCAGGTGTATCAGTGCTGATGAAGATAGCATAGGATGGAATGGGATTCAGGTCTGTCCTTTATATGGTTGCTATGAGTTGCACTTGGCTCAACAGTACCTAACAACAGCAAGAACAGGATTGGGGTTTAGGAAAATGGTAACTTTTGCCTTTAATTTTCTTTTTCTTTTCTGTTATCTTTTTTTTTGTGTGCAGAAAAGGTTGATGGTTATCTTATCATGGTTTATTCCAACTCCAGAACATTATAATTTTATCTTTTTCCTCCTTTTTAAATTTTCTCTTAAAACATAGGACTTATCTTGTTCATGGTTGGATCTGTCCCAGTTTACATCTGTTTATAAACTGTTCTGCAAGCTGCTATTTTAAATTATATATATCTGCTTTTTCAATTTAGCAGGTACTGGCCATAATCAGATCTAATTATTTTATATTCTCCCTTCGGCAGAAGTACAAAAGAATCCAACTTTTCCTCTTATCTATTTTCTTCCTTGTTTCCTAGGAAGAAATGGAATTGTAACCACTGTTTTTAATGCAGCACAGTGTTTAATGTAAAGTAGATTTTCCTGCACAGGCCATTAGGAGCCATGCAACTTCCTAATTAGACAGTAACTGCATGTAGCTTATACTGCAAGGGCATTTAAAGACACTTCATTAGCCTCGATTACTTGGGATCGAAGTGCCTCCAGGTACTTAAATATCTGTGGTTTTAATCAGCCAGCCCAGCCAGTGTGTGAAAGCCAAATGGAATCTAATCAACTACTGTGAGATTCACATTTTGATTCCCTTAACAGGGAGTCATCTGTTTGGGAAATGGGTCTGTGATTGCTTTATACGCCTGATATCATTGAGCAAATCAGTAGGACTGAGAGCTCCCTCCCTGCTAGACAGAACTGGGTGCAACTTTAGGGCCCATGCTACTTTGTTGTCATTGTTGTGTGCCCTTAAGTCAGAACTGACTCAGAGCTGACCCTCAGATGCTGTGACTCACAGGAGAGGAGACGTCTGTCTTTCTTCCTCATAGCAGCTGGTATTTTAACCATGTGTACTTCAGTGTCAGAAGAATAGGAAGCAGCCAGGCTTTAGTTGCTGAGGTCCTGCATGTCAGGGAAAAAACCTAGGTACACATGCAGCCTCGTGAGGGATGGTGAAGAGATTGAGATTGTAAACAGCTTTAGTTTGTTTGGCTCCACAATCAACACTCTTGGCACCAGCAGCCAGGAAATTAAAAGACATATTGCGTTGGGAAAGTCTGCTGTCAGAGACCTCTCCAAAGTACTGAAGAACAGTTATGTCAGTCAGGAGACTAAGACGCACCTGATACAAGCTATGGTCTTTGCAGTCACTTGCTATGTATCAG